ATCCGTGCGAATAACGGGAAAATGTGTGTTTTTCCATATCCGTATTCTGCCCTTCATCGGAACAGAACGCGCCTGAGTATTATATCAAAATGTCGATTCAACTTTCTTTCGGCAACGCTGTTCAGGTCAAGTAATGTGATGGAAACTTTGCGGGTCCTTCGGCAGCCTTTGCGCATTTTGACAAAGCTTCTTGCTAAAAAATAATCCAACGCTATTTGCAGCCGTTGTGTTTGTGCCATTTTGTCCAGATTCCCCAGACCTACGACAGCACTTATGCCCATTCTAGACAGTCCTCTCAGAGGAATTTAGCACGGAGCTGCTGAACGACTGGATTCATCGCCCTTGCATGCATTAGACAATTCCTGGCCCTCTTCTCCTCATCCTTGGTATTTCAAGCAGCATGCCTTGCACGCTTGTGAGTAATGCCGTGCCGCTGTCTCTGCCGTGCTCTGACGGGTCTGCGACGTTGCGCCACCCAGTCAGTCGCATTGCGCCAGTCACGTGGCAGTCCTCGATTTTACTGACAACGTGGATAACAATTAATGAATGAAGCCATCTCAACTACACTGATGTTGATGCGATGACCTTGACCATCATGCGCCTGCACAGAGTTTTCAGAGATCGCAAACTCTCAATTAGTAACAGCGACAATATCTGCCAACATTGGCAGAGCGAGGGTCGAGCGAGGGGCCATCTCTGGGTTCTGAGTGCCCGTCCGGCCCAATTTGGCGATCCCGGGCCTCAAAGCGAGCTCCTGCTTAGTGGGTAGGCTGCTCAATGCGTGCACGGTCTTTCCACATAATCTCCCCCCTCCCCCCCTTGCGCACGCCATAACTTTCAAAGTGCGGATGTTGAACAGGATCCCTGGACCCGGGATCGTTCCGGACACCTCCCGTTGGGCGTCCCACGGTGGGACTCCCAACGCTCTGCTCGACCACATGGCCAGGGACGAGGATGAGGGTAGTCCACACTCCTCACGCAACAACCAACCCTGGGGCGCTGAAACGGCGGACGGGGCCGACTTTGTGGCAGCCGAATCAACAAATTTCCGCAGACTTTCGCAAATTACCCCGAATATCCACAACTTCAGCAAATTTCAGAAATTTTCAGGAAATTTCTCCAAATTTCCGCTGTAAAGATCTGTGCCTGGGCAGGGCACGACCCAGTTGCTGGTCGCAACTGATGGGCACATTATTGAGCCATAATGTGCTCATTATTGGTGACCCGAGCACCGCAGATTTCAGCAAAATTTCTCACTTGCCAGCATCCCTCCTCCCCCCTCCCCCCCCCTCGCCGGGCACACCCTCCCACCACGTGTGGGGTGGGGTGTACACCCCACATCACCACCACCACCACAAATGATCGTTAAGGTACAGAGCATCACCGAAGAACCACAAAACGCCTTGGAACCTTACCCACAAACGGCCCGCATGTCCGCCGCCATGCACAGCAGCCCCAACACGCGTTTTTGTTCATGCACGGGACGCGCACTATGAGCGTTAGTGGTGCGAGCATTACTAATGGGCGCTAGAAGCGCGGGCATCGCCCTAAATGAACAATGACATTGGTTTGGCAGTGATTGGTCCATTATTGATAGATATTTGTATCACTATAAGAAGACATGCCTGTCCGCAACCTATCTGTCACTATGTTCCCTCAGCTGTACATCCAAGCCCATTGCCGTGAGTGCCTCCAACACAGTCCCACCCCAAAACCGCATCATTGTGGCATCTGAGGCAGGGGTGGGATTGCAGGACTGCACCACCAGTAAAAAACAGGCCAGATGACATAGCCCTGACACGGTCTGCTGAAAATGCAACTGTGTACTTTCGGCAAATGTGGTCCCAAACGTACATAGTTAATACACACATTGACACAGTTTTAACTGTGCATCCTAGGAAACTGTGTAGTCTACACGGTTGTTTGAGGGTGCACGGTTGAAACTGTGTCAATGTGTGCACTAATTGTGTACTTTTGGGGCCACATTTGCCGAAAGTACACAATTGGATTTTGAGCAGACCGTGTCAGGACTGTGTCATCTGGCCTGTTTTTTTCCTAGTGCACGACAGCATGGCATGGTGCGACGCCAAGGCGCGTGCGAGTGTCTTGCCACCGCATGATGTGGTGCATTGGACTGGCAACATGATGAGTGGTATCCAGCAATGAGCACAGAGTGGTCGCGCGAGAGCCAAGACGAGTGCGACAAGGGCATGATTGAGGGCGGGTGGGCGACGCACACGTCAGTTCTGTCAATGCCGTGGCTGTGCGTTCGCTAGAGCTACGATGGTAGAGTTGCGATGGAGGATAACATGACACTGCTGAGCGGTGCTGGACGTGTGTGAGCCACGCTGTTGGCTGGAAGTGCTAGTTTGAGTGGATGGCTGAGTTGGAGGGACCACGTGTTCGCCATACAGCACGCACGTCCCCACAGCAGGGTCTGCATGATAAGGGGTCAGCAGGATGGTGGCTCGTGTCAACTCATATCAGTGTGGTCCTGCAGGGAGACGCATCACCACGATGTACGTACGATCACGTACGATGCAGTGTCACTGCCGGTGTCGAGAGAGCAACGTGGCACAGCACAAGCGAGGCCCTCGTGGCAATTCCAGTGGGCATGGCATTGTCTTTGTTGTTGGGGGCGCACTGAGCGCTGATGGACTGGCTTCTCAAAGCCATGGGCTGAGTTACTGAGATGCCCCGTGGAGGTGGCGAGGTTCGCCTAGACGTGTCGCTCTTGAGTTTGACGGCTTCCTTTCCGAATTTGGTGCCCTTTGGTGGATTCTTGAGCTGATGCTCTGGTTTTTGATGTGCTCCTTTGAGACTGGTTTGTGTGTTCGTGTTCAAGGCCCCTGCATGTTTCCATGATGATGGCTTCTACCAATTTCTTGGTTCCCTTGGTTTCCTTGGTTGAGGCAATTACACGTCGCAACGGCGCTCTGTGCGCGTTGTGGGCGAACGATATGGCAGTGATTGGTCCATCATTGACAGATGATTGTATGACTACTTAAGGGACATGCCTGTCCACAACCTATTTGTAACTCTGTTCCCTTCGCTGTGTCTCAAAGCCCGTTGCCGTGCCTGCCTCCGACATAGTCCCACCCCGAATCAACCGCATCAACATCTCCCAATGATCACCGAGGGGTGGAACTATATGCAGTCTGCGAAGGGGGTTGTCGCCTGTGTGCTGACTATCGTATCTGCCACTACCCCTCCGCTAGACACTCGCTGAACTCAAAACTGTAAGGTCGCACTCATGAGCCGAAGTCGTGGGCAGCTGCAAGGCCCCAGTGAAGTGCTAGACAAAGAGCGAGGCAGCAAGAGATGCCTATGGTGCCGGGAGTTCCCACCCGCCCCTCCCGCGCCCCGTGGGCATTCAAGACGAACTGCGGCATCAGGATCGACAACCTGGTCGCTGACACTTCATATGGGACTTCGAAACCTTGCACAGCAAGCCATTCGCTGTCGGTCGCCAGTACTGGCACTAGTGCCGAGCTTTTGCCGTTGACGAGGATCATGCAATGAACCTCTCCATTCCCATCCCGTGTCCGCCACAGAGCTGCTGACGCCTCTGTCCGCCTACCTATCCAACACTCAAACCACTGCAAGGCCAAAAAAATTCGCAAGGTTGGCTGGTTCATTTCGTGTTGCACCGCCACCGTCGGCAACTTACACCATTTCTCGCCGAGTCCAGCGCGTGGCTCTCATCTTTCCTGATCTCCCCACCCACAGCCCATCCACACAACGCCAAGGGGTGGGCGAGCAGCGCTAGCTTGCCAGCATGGCGATCCCTGCAGAAATGTTTAAATGCAAACTCGTTGCGCCTCTTTGGCTCATCCATTCTTTCCCCCCTCCCTCGCGAGCGGCGATTCGCCACCCTGAGTGTGAGCGAGTTGGTGCTGGGAGTTGTGTTGTTTCGGGACCTACACACCAGCGTGAAGGGTTGCAGCTCTCCAGCCTCACGGATTGGCGCCCGGCGGTGCCGCCAAATGCCGATGCCGTCGTATGTGTGCTTGCGAGCCACGTGCGCCACCAGGCTTGGTTTTTACGTTTACGTTTACGTTTTTACTTTGACGTTTTTATGCGTAAAAACGTAAATTTGCAAAAGCGCCTATTTTTACGGCTATTTTTACGTTTTTACGGCTCGCTGGGACACCCAGGTTACACGAAGAAAGTTGCGTACAGTGATCTGTCCTCCCACATCTCCAGCACCCCCAACACAATGCTCACCTCGCCCTTGGCAAGGGCGATGATGGTGTTCAACAAAAACTCGTTTCTGCCCCTTCCAGGGTGTCCGGCTGCCACTCTCCGGACAACATAAGTCTGTATGTACTGTCCTTATGTACACCGGGCAGTTTTTACGTTGTATTTACGTATTTTGACGCATTTTTACGCGTAAAAACGTAAAAACTATATTTATGCGTAAAAATGTGAATAAGATCAGTTTTTACGGCGTAAAAACCAAGCCTGTGCGCCACTGGCGGATTCGGTCTCTGCGAGCCCAGGGCAGCCCTGCAGCCTTCACCTTCGTGTTGGCACGGCGCAGCAGGCTTGCGGCTGCCAAAAACTGTGGCAGGGTTGGAGGGACACTCAATTTTGAATGCCGGAGGGGCGCAGGGCTGGATACGATGCGTGATGCATCGGGCATACGGACGACCAGCCCCTTCAAGGACTGCGTATAGTTCCACCCGATCACCGAGATACACACCATTAGGTACGGATGCCGGGCCGCCGGCCTTAGTAATAGTTCGACACCCACCTTTCTCGCGGTGTGAGCTCACCTCGTATTGCCCCCACTCCCCTCGCGTCACGCCCATGTGAGGGGGTGATATCCGGGGGGCAGGCCCCCCTCACCGGCGTGCCGCCGCGCCTAACGGGCGCAGGCCGCGCGCTAAAGGCGTGCTTGTGCGGCCTCGCCCGGAGGCCGGAGGCGCGCAGACCGCGGTTCAGGGCCATCTCTGCACCTGCCTCGACGCGGTTTGCGAATCTTGTGCGCGCCCAAGATGCGGGACTCCGGCGTGGGCGGTCTGGCAGCACCGCTGGGGATGATTCTTGGCAAAGGCGATTGCGACCAACCCGTGGTAGCGGGGCTGGGTCGGCGTGATGCGGGTGAGCCGCGTCGGTCTGCGATTCGGCTTGTGATTCTGTGTGCGACCTCGGGATTCTCGCCTGGTGTGCGCGCGGCCCAGTGCGGCTGCGCGAGGAATTGTTAGGGATCGCTCCGATTGCGGCGTGGCTCCGAGGGGGGCTGGGGAGGGGGGCGCTAATGGACTGACCCGCGGAGAGAAACCGAACCGCGTTTTCGATGTTTGGTTCGGTTTGCGACCCTCTCTGAGGATTCTTGCATGGTGCGCCGGCCGCCCAGCACTGGCTGCCCGGTGTGTTATGCGGCATTGCGCCGTTTGGGGCGTGCCTCCAAGTGGGGATGTGGAGGGGGGGCGCCGATGGACTGACCCGCGGACAGAAACTGACCCGCGATTTCGGTTTGTGACTCGGTGGGATCCCCCCTGGGGGTCTTCCCGGTGCGCGGGCCGCCGAACGCGTTATGAGGCATGGACCCGATTGAAGCAGGGTGGGGAGCTGATGGACTGACCCGGGAAGAGAGATTGATCCGCGAATTCAAAGCAAGGACGCGCCCCGTGGAGGATCACGCGTCCATGCCAGCCCCACGGCTTTGAATGCCGCGGGGAGTGAATTTTGTCGCCGCATTCGACTCGCAGATTTTGACGCCGGGCCGCTGGGAGACACGCCCATCATCGGACTCGCGACGACCATGGAGGGCTTCCTGCCGATCGCCCTGACGCGCCGGCGTGAAACACTGTTCACGACCGAATGGACAGGAGGGCAACATAAGGAAGATAAGGAGGAAGAAGAAGGGAAGAATGGAGAAAAAAGGCAGGCGGGGAGGTCGCCGAGGCCATCCGTGGGCGGTCTGCGGCTGGAGATCCAGTCGGAGCGGCGCGGGGCGGCGCTGATCGCCCCGCCGGGGGTGGGCACAGCGTGCAGCCAGGGGGGGCGGGCGGCCATGGAGGACGCCGGGGCGGTGGTCCACGATTTGATCGAGTTTCCGCTGGCGTTTCAGAGCGGGGAGAGGGTGGTGCCGCCGGCGCTGGAGGCTGACCTAGCTGGCCTGTGGGAGGCGCCCCTGGACGGGGGGAATGCGGTGGATTGGGTCCCGGGGCCCAGGGGAGAAGTCGCCGCCTGTGAAAAGGGAGGAAAAGAAGAGGGAAAATGGGCATCCAGCGGACTGAACCTTGCTGGCAAAGGGAGGGCTCAAGAGGAGGTTAGATGCCTGGCAAGCGGAGGGGAGGCAGGAGATGAGGAGAGAAGCCTTTTCGGTGAAGAAAGGGCAGAAGATGATGGCCAATACCTTGCGTGTAGAGGACGGGCAAGAGATGATGGAACAAACCTTGCCGGTAAGGGAAGGGCAGGAGCAGATGGACAGCTTGCCCGCGAAGCGGAGATGGCGACGGTGGGCGATTGCATGCCGGGCTGCGGGTCGCCGAGGTCGCCTCTGGTGGAGATCCCGTCGGAGAGGAGCGAAGGCGGGGGGGAGGCGGGGGAGGCGGTGAGGCGGGTGATGACGCGGTTTCACTTCGCGGGCGTGTACGACGGGCACGGGGGTGGGCTGGTGGCCAGGGCCGTGGCGGAAAACCTGCACGTGCACCTAAGGAAGGCGCTGGACGCGGGGCTGGAGGCATCCGTTCCCAGGTGGGTAAGATTCGTTACAAAAGAGACAGAAACAGGTCATGCAAAGGGCACTCCCTCCCAAGTGTATTTGAGGCTCTTTCCAGGTTGGTTCCCAAGTGGGCGTTCCGAGGGCGGTTGGGGGGGCGGGGAGGAGAAGCTTGTTCCATTTTTTGGTCTTCTGTTCCTTTTTTGCTTCTTTGGGAGGAGAACCTTGTTTCATTTTTGGTTTTCTGTTCCTTTCTTGTCGTTTTTCCTGTTCCGCTTTGGTTGTTGCTGGACAGCTCGTTGATGGTGCCTTCCCCTGGTGGCATGGGAGCTGTCAACTTCCCTGCGTGTTTTGATGTGTGGCCGTACGGGGCGAAATGGCCCTTCTTGAGTTGTTGAATGCAACCAAGACGTGTGGCGAGCCCAGCAGGGCCTGCGTTTCATGTTTTGGGACACATTTGCGTGGAGCAGAATGTTGTCGCGAATGTCACTCAGGGCGCCTGAAAGCAAGATAGGTGCTGCAGAGATTTGCCAGCCTTTTCATGACCCCTGAGCTTGAGAAAGAAGCTCGCCCTAATGTCGTGGTGTTGCCCCCAGGCGACACCCTGTGGCTATCACGGTCTCTTGCATCACGGTCTTGTGTTCTGGTTCTGGTTCTGGTTCTGGTTCTGGCCTGCACAACAGTCAATCCCTTTGGGCTATGAGGCTGTTCTAGCACTGTCCATAGTTGGCAAGGATACCATTTACACGGCCCATACAGGTTGCCCACCGCATTGCCCCCTTTCTTTGTGCCTGTAAACGACATTTGGCTATCTGCAAATCATTGAGAAAGTGTTGAAACACACCTCTTTGTCCAACGAGGCGAATTTGTGCCATCCATGATCTCCACACCCCCTCCTACGAATGACCGAATTCGAATATCAGATGTGCTTGACTATGTGGCTCTTGTTTCTGAACTTTTGACCAGACTAATTGGCTATTTAAAACACGCCCAGACAAACCAACTGTTCCCATCACAGTCTCTATCGTCAGCCTCTGGTGTCACAACCGTACGCATTCAACCCATTTGAGCATCAGAGATTCTTTCTTTCTTCTTAATTCTGTCTTTGATGGCTTTGGGCAACGTCCAGGGCCAAAATGGGCCATGCTCACTCATCTTCAGACACAGGTGCCTTCAGCATCCCATTCCTTTGCCCTTTCTTATTGGGGGCAAACATTTCAGAATGTGTTCATGTCACTACACAGTTTCATAGGGCGACATGCATCCACTGTTTCTTCTCCATTCTTCCCCATAAGGAATGTGACACCGTGTGACTATCTGACTTCAGTGCAGGCAAGCGATTCACCACATATTGCATCTTCAGGTTGGTTCTAAGAACACACTCATGAATTCACTGTGCTTTCTTTTCTTCATCTTTCCATTCTCTGTTGTACTTGTCGTGTACTCTGCGTCTAACCCCTTCATCTTCCAGCAGCACCTGTTGTCCTTGCCCCAGGTTGCATGCTGGCCCCACAACCCAGGTGGCCCAGGGCTCCCGCTTCTGCTGGGCCCCCGGGCCTGCACTCCCCCGCGCGGAGCACCCTGGCCTGGGCCTGCCCCAGGTGGCTTGTGCAATCCACAGCGCCTTTCGGCTGATGGATGGCCAGCTGATGGAGGAGGGGGTGGCGGAGGACATGGGCACCACGGCAGTGGTGGGCCTGGTGAGCGAGTCACACCTGTGCGTGGCAAACTGCGGGGACTCCAGGGCGGTGCTGTCGAGGGGAGGGATGGCCTACAGGCTGACAAGGGATCACAAACCTGACCTTGAGGACGAGCAGGTGAGGGAGAGTTGTCTACAAAGTTTTCGACTTTACTGGTCATGCCCCATCTGTGGCATGTCCCACTTTGTCTCAGCCGCTGAAGGCAGCCAATGTACAATAGGCCCAGGCACACACAACGAGCAGGTGAGGGTTGCCCGTGTCTGATTTCAGAAAGGGAAATCGCATTGGGCAGTGTGCATTGCCCCTACAACAGGGAATTTTCACAGTCTATGGGGTATACTATGGGGTATACTATGGTGTATACTATGCAGTATATAGGTACCAAATTGTGTGTTTTGCTGTATGTGCTCCTCTTTTGCACAACAGAAGCCATGAAGAATTTTGTGCAGCAGGAATGGGGCTTTGATTTCTGATCTGCCAATGGCCTTTGGAGCGCTGGCCTTCTCTTTTTGTGGATGTGCATTGATTTTCACAAAAGCAATCTTTGGGATTTGCAGCATCTTGCATTCTATTGTGAGGTGGGTGCAAGGTCCACGTCTGTCCCATAAGGACCACTGTGGCTGCTGGTGTTGTTTGTAATGTACAACCATGCAGAAAGGGAAACGTACATTGCACGACATAGAATGACTCGTCATTGCACCGCATGACTATGCATGTCAAGGCCCGACTAGTGGCTAATCATGATCCCAATTATCTGTGGTGCAGGAGCGCATAAACAGCTGTGGTGGGGTTGTTCTGAACTTCAATGGCGTGAGAGTAATGGGCCTGCTGGCCATGTCACGTGCCCTTGGGGACCACTGCCTCAGGGATGTTGGGGTCATTGCTTACCCTGAGGTGAGGCGCATTGTTTGTTTTCAAACGTATTCTTTGCATTTGATTACAATGCCCCTTTCTCTTTTTGCTGAGATTGTTTGCTCGATTTACATTTTCAGGCACAATAGCTATTAAAAGGACAGAGGGGGTAGTTAAATGCCTTTGCTCGCCTGCCACATCCACATCATTCAACACAGGAAGGCATCTTGGCGACAGGATCTGATGCACATGTCGATGACTTCAAAGTGCAGAGGCTGTGATTGTCATATCTTGTTGTTGACAATTCGAGTCTCTGGGATTATAACAGTCAGGTGTTCGTTTCCAACCATCGCAAAGGCCACCGCATTAATTTGGTATTTTTTGCTCTGCCACTTTACAAGGAGGTCCAATGCACAACAGTGTGTACAGCCTCTGAAACCATTGGTCCGATACGAAGTGAGATTTGGAATCGAAACAGACACTTGGTGGCATGCTGATTCAATCCAGACAGCAGCAAAACGGCTGTTAAATACATTGGCACAAAATCTGTTTTGTGGTGCACTTTGAAAGTACATGTTGACACTGTTGTGGCTTCAAACCTCCTTTTCAGTGTTTTGGCTGCAACTGTTCAGAGGCCCAGTTTGGCGGCCAGGGGCAAACTAACCGCTAAAGATACCCCAACTGCAGCAAGAGAATGAAACAGAAGCACAAACTGGTCACCTCTGGATGCACAGGTCACGATAGTCGGCCGCCAGCCTGGGGACGAATTCCTGGTGCTGGCCACCGACGGCCTCTGGGACGCCCTCGCTGACCGCGAAGCCTGCGATGTGGCACGGAAATGCTTCCAGCGGGTGGAGGAGCGGGGCGCTGGAGCAAAAATCGCCGCCAGGCTGCTCGTGAGGGCGGCCCTGGAGAGAGGGTCCACGGACAATGTCACTGTGACTGTCGTGGATCTGCATGGCCAGCCACAGGTGTAGATGGGCGATGAGTGTCTGAGGACAATGTCATGGTTGCCATTGTGGATTTGCACAGCCAGCTACAGGTGTAGATGGGATGGGGTCCAAGGGCAATGTCATGGTTACCAACATGGACCTGCACCGCCAGCCACAGTTTTTTTTGGAATTCCAGTGTATTACAAGTTGATATAAGCAAGGAGCTCCCCCACGAATCTCAAAGCACAACAGGATCTTTTGCTAGCAAGAGCCGATGCAGGGTCCCAAACAATAAGATAGGAAGAAGGCATCAGTGTTCGGTGAGTGTTCAATATCCAGCCACAGTTGTAGATGGGGGATTAGCGTCCGAGGACATGGCGTGGCTGCCATCATGGATCTGCACAGCGAGCTGCATGTGTGCACAAAGGAGTGAGTAGGTGTTGAGCAGGATCGATGGTAGGAGATGCAGGAACAGGTGGGGAAGTTCGGCTCTGATGGCGGTCGTGTTTTCAGGGTGGGGCGCTGTGCTTGCACCTTTGGTGGGTGCCATCAGAGCTGTGTTGGCCATAAGATGGATGCTGCACTGGCCACAATGGCCATATTCATAAATTGAGCTGGATAGAGGCAGTGTTTCTTCTCTGCAGGGGGATGTGGTTGCTCAATGGGATGGAATGGTCGTCGATGAGGGTCAGCACCACAGTATTTCAGAGCAGGTTGGGGCAACACCAGAACCACAGCCATGAACAGCATGTTTGAGTGAAGGTGGGGTTGCAGCAATCGACAGAAGATTTGGGCAACAATAGGGGTGCAGGAGTTGACTAAAGATATGGGCAACAAATGGCTTTAACCACTAACTCCAGGTTAGGGTGGCTGTGGAGATGCAGCCGTTGACAACGTGCTTGGGTACATTGGAGAGGTCCAGCGTCCTATCCGGCTGCCAGGTCACTATTGATTGCAGACTGTTGTAGAGGTACTACTGTGTAGCTGTTGTAGAGCTACTACTGTTTATCGCAATGGCAGCCAAGTGCTGGTTAGTTTAGGTAGTGTACTAATGCACCCCCCAGCAAGACAACGGTATGTGTAGTTAGCCAATGCACTTTTCAGGGAGTCAGGGTCCCGTCAATATTGCAGACCTGTGACAAGTTTTCTATTTGTGCGCGTGCGGCAGGGAGGGGAGGGGGGAGGGGGGATTGTTTTGCTCGTTGGTAACTCAAGGCACCGAGAGGTTCGAAGTTTGCGCAGCCCAGCATATGCTTGGCTGCAAGCGGATGAAGCTGGGGTGGCGTTCTTGATGGACAAGGCAATGATGCCAGAATGCGCACATTTTGAGGCCGTTGTTGGTTTTTGTGTTGTGTGTGCATTTCGGTGCAGAGTGTCGCATTTTCCGTTTGGACATGGAGGTGGCAAAGTTGTGTTTCAGGCGGAAATGGCACTGCAGTTGTAGTTTTGGGGAAGAGTTTCGCACAGAGAATGTACTATGGGGCAAGCACAGAGGTGTTGCAGCAAAGCATTTGGCCAGGCACATGACCTGTACTGTCAAGAATGTTGTGTATCAATGCATTGGAGATGGAATAGGGCAGTCTACGGAAGGCTGCTTTATGCAGTGAGTCTTGCTTACACTGTGAAGGAACAACACCAGTGTTGTACAACAGTTCTGTTGTAGACTACTGGTGTACAACAATGTTCCTGGCAGCATTGCTACCACCAGTCTGGATGCGTTGTTGCCAAGACGCTCCGTATTGGTGACTATGGTGGGAGTTGCGTGCATTGCATCACTCCCTTCGTACCCTGAGGTACCTGCGCAGAAGTCGCTGCATGCAATAGGTCGCCTAACAGGGAGATTGGTATTACACCAGCTGCTCTGGGGATGTTGTGATGCCAGACAAGGGCGCTGTCTAGGATTTTGGTTTTAAAGGTTTAGGTTTGGGGCATAGAGGGAAGCCGGCTGGCACACTGCCTAAAACAGGGGCTGCCAAGCCAGGGTCTTTTTGTCCAGAATGGTGACGGCTATTCCAGTTGTGCCTTGCGTACCAATCATTCACTGCAAGGACACCAATCGTGATTTGCACATTGGGTAGCCATCAATCACTCACTAGCACAGTCAAGAGGGTCCAGTATTGATCCCGGCATTTCCCTTTTCGGGCGCAGCTTGTATTTTGCAAATATTTCTGTCAGACAATTGGGCCCAACTTCAATGGGCCCAATATGGCGGAAGGCATCGCCATTGAACGGACACACCTTGGATTCTGCATGCAACGGCACAGAAGACAGGTCGAGGGGGATGTTTGCCGAAGCACCAACACGGAGCAGTGTCCTGCACGGGCGTGTCCAGATCGATAGGTTCCACGCCACAACCAATGCTGTCTGCAGCATACTCTCCGTGTGCTTTTTGCTGTGTGCCTTTCGCACGTTTGTGGTGATTGTGGTGTTCGTTTCGGCAAGAATTGTCAAGCCCCTGTACACTGCCAGAAAAGCCAAGGGACGCACATGCTGTGCATAGCGTTTCACTCAAAGGGATCTTGATGGACGACAAGGCTCTACCTTGAAAAGGCATTTCCGCAGGCCTACCAATGCCAGGATTACATGGTTGGGGAAAAAAGGATGGCAGAATCAGTACTTTACTGTACTCACTTATATCGTTTTTTCTGAATAAGTGATAGTCCCACCGTGATATGTCCGTCCTAAATAGCTGACAGCCCCACGAGACCTTGAACCCACCTGCGGCTGCCGTCAAAGACTCCCATGCGCGATGGCGTCAGGGACGGACGGCGCATCCGTCATCAGTGCCTTCTGCAGATAAACACGACCTGGCATAAGCGCGCCTTCTCCCTCCTGCCCCCCCTCCCTTTCCGGTATCCCAGTCCGGTATCCCCCTCCCTTTCCCCTCCCTTTCCTTCCCCCTTCTGATATTTCTGTATTTTGCTGAGGTTACTATTTTCAGACTCGCCCAGTACTCCCAGGCACACCGCGTCAAGGAACGGACAAAAGCAGGCCGCTGAGCGAATTTTCAGCCTAGAAATTCGACATTGATGCGCACCAACTCATATTTTTCTGACGCAGAATTGCCAAGATGGTTTTTGGCCAAGTCATTTTAGGGAAAATGACAAAAGGGGGTCCTTTGCGGGGGTGTATTTGACAAAAGGGGGTCCTCTGACCGCCCCCCGTACATTAGCCGCGTTGCAAGACCGGTGCCAGACCGGCGCCGGTCGACAAGCCGGTCCTACTAGGGGCGACCCCGCAGAGGACCCCCTTTTGTCAAATGCACCACACAAAGGACCCCTTTTTGTCAATTTTCCTCTTGGGGGTGTTGTAGGAGTTGCCTTGTTTTCCGAATCTTACACCACAAATACTTCCTGACAGCTGCCACTGGCCCTCAGTAGTGGTGGTTGAATTTCAATCAGCTGTCCAAAACCCTAGCAAAACGCACAACATTCACCACAGGGCCATGAGCATAGTAGCAACCCTTACTCAGAGATCCCGCAAAGTTGTACAACACAACTCAGTGTTCATAGTTGTCCCATAGTGAAAGCATTGTCAGCGAAGCATTGTCAGGAAGTGACCTGTGGACTGCCGTCGAACCAGGAGCACATAAAATGAAGGCAATGCCAGCAAGCGAGAAAACATGTGCAATAAACGCTCTGACAGATTGTCGAAAGCCATCCCCCGATCCCCATAGCTGTCCTCCACAAGTCGGTTTGCACTCACAATTCCGATCTTTGTGACTCCCTCCTAGAGCTCCGATCGCCACTTGATCGCCCAGGTAGCTCCGATCACCCATGTCTCTCACCCTAGTTCCGGTCGCCGCTTGCTCTCCCCGCAACCCCGATCGCCGCTTGGTCTCCCTCACAGCTCCGATCGCTACGACTCTCCCACAGCTCCGATCGCTACGACTCTCCCACAGCTCCGACCGCTGCGTGCTCCCTGCGCCCTTCTAGAGGGGTCGCCCCTAGTAGGACCGTGGTCCGGTCTGGCGCCAGTCCGGTGCCGGTACGGCGTCGGTCTGGCGCCGGTCTGGCAATGCGGCTAATGTACGGGGGGCGGTCACAGGACCCCCTTTGTTCAAATGCACCCCCAGCAGAGGACTCCTTTTGTCACAGAGGACCCCCTTTTGTCAAGATATCTCACAGAAGACACCCTTTTGTCATTTTCCCCATTTTCATTTGTGCCTTGTTTGTTTTCTTTGTTTTTACACGAATGCCTGATGCAAGCCATGCATATGGACACGGTGAGAGTGATGCACGCCGACTCATGCAGAATCCCTCAGATTGTGCTCAAAATTTCCAACAGGGATTTTGCATGAGCATTTTTTATTTGCGTCTTTTGCTTTTCTATGTTGCGCGAATGTCTGATGCACACGATGTTACATCGTAACAGTAACAACTGTATACAGTAAACAGAGACGGAGATGGAGGCACGCAAGGATTGGGTGGTTGGCCGTCAGTGCTAGAGGTATGTACGCACAGGTTGTCCGGATTTGCATCCGTATCCGTATCCATATCCGTATCCATATCGGTGTTCGGCGCATCATCAGAGATATGGTCTGCATCAGGCATTTGTTAAAAGAAAAAGGAAGAAACGAACGGGAGAAAATAACAAATGTTCTTGAAATTTTCAGTCAATAATCAGTGATGCTCCCAGAGCACAGCACAAATGCCAACGCAAAGCACCACAACCTCGCAACGCTGGCTCGCCTTCCAGCCGCGGTGCGCCCAATCTTGGTGCGGTCGCGAGCTCCAAAAGCACCCTTGAACCCTGGCAAGCTCTGGCCCCCTTGGGCTCAGAAACGCCGCGCATCGAAGCACTCCCCCCCCCCTCCCTCGCCCCCGGGGCGTTGTCCACACATGCGATGCTCTGGGATGCGATTTGGCTTCGATTCCGCGACGACCGCCTGGAGTTCGAGTTCGGCGGCATCCTCAGGAAGCGGAACTTTGCAAAATGGCTGTCGCTGCTGATCTTGCAGGCGGGCATCGGCGCGTTGTGCTTCCAGGCCACCGGCGACAGGCGGGTGGGATTGCAAGTGGGGCTGGCCGTCGCTGCTGAGCTGATCAGCGTGCTGCTCCGGGGCGTGCCCAGGCTTCGAGCCTCCCCGCTCAGAGCGAAATAGGGGTGCATGGGGGTAATTTTTGTGGCAGGCATTGCCGCCATTGTGATGAAGGTGTTGAATGAGCGGTCACAGCCAATCGTGTTGGCCAAAGATCGGCCGTGGATGGTTTTCCTATACATGTGCATCTGCATAGCGTCCGGGTCCGCACTGCCCGTGCCGTTCAGGCAGCATCTTCCGGTTTATGCTACCAAGGCGGCAATTTTTTTCTCCATGCTTGACACGGTGGGCATGTGTTCTGCACCTGTGGCATCGCTCGGAGGGCGCGTTTGGGAAGCGGAGATGTGGGAGACGATTAACCACTATTCTTGGGTGCTGCTCCAAGCCAAACATGTGGCAATGGAAGATGAGCCCAAACTGGAGGGGTTGGAGGACCGCTGTGCTCATTTTTACACCTTTTTCTTCTTGTTGATTCAAATTTATACGGGGAAGAGCAAAAAAGTAGTAAGCAATAAAATTCTCAAACTGACGTACCCATATTATTATCAGATTCCTGATTGTTGTACTCCTAAGGGCGTTATTACACGTTCGATTTCACAAGAAATGTTTCAGTCTGTGATTGTCAGCATGGCAAGCCTGCGGATTTGAATTTCGGAAACTCTTTGAGATGGCATTCTATGCCTTGGAACTGCTGCGCTTCTGGTTACAACAGACTGCATCAACACGCGCAACGTGTCAACATTTCTTATTGCCTTAGCATGACGCCCAACAAATGCCACAACCCGGAAAATCTGAACGTTCCCATTTCCACAGCGAAGCCGTGTTGGTTTTGAAGGGAGGCGAAGCAGCCCAGCCGCATGCACATGTATGGTGCGGGACCTTATTTCAGTTGGTCCGCCAGAGCGCCCGTGGGGTCAACGAGCACCTCCATAGGGACAAGCAGGAGACAGCAGATACAATGCATGACATGTCTGTGACTCTGTGACTGTGGCTCGGTGGCGCCCTGATACATGTGACCTACTGAACCCCATATGTCATGCTTCTTCATCTCGTAATAATTTGTGCAGGTTCCTTATCTGTTCTCACATTGGAGGCCACTAGACTCAAGTTTTTGACCTAGAAACAATTTCCTAGTGGGGCTGCCTAGTCGCCCAACACAGCAGCAGCATCTTCATGGCAGAGAATTCCCATAACTGCATTGCCAATTGGACTTTGATGGGCCCTATTCTCCCATCCATTCACGACAATTTTGTTTACAGTGATGCATCAAGAGGCGTAAATCATAGACCTACAACCCTTTTATGTATAAAGTGCGGGGCTCAACACAGCCAGCGCCCACCCAGCATCACAGTACAGTCTCACAACACAAGCAAACACGAAGATCAACACGGACAATTAGGGTGAATTTCAATGTCGATCAGACAGAAAGTGAAACATGATAGGAGTATGGCAGAACGCAAGGAAATTGCACAAGGTCTGCCTAGTATGCAGAAAGTGATGATTAATATTAATGGTTCAGAAACAGGGCCAAATAGGATTTCGCAGACTTGGGGCCTGTTGCATTGATGTCCACATAACATGATCACTATGCTGCCAAGGGCAGTTCTGTCTGTGAATACAAATTTCGTAGGGAGAAGTCTCCAAGATTGCGTGCAAGCCCAAGTGGCGTGCATTGGCATTGGATGTTGCAACATGTGTATGTCATTCAATGCCATGTTACATTTTTATCTGTGTGGCTTTGACCATTGCTCCAAGGTTCTTTCCTTCTGATGCAAGGAGACAGCTGCGCTGGGCGCCATCATTTGCTCATGGAGGCCAGGTTGTGGGCAGAAATCCGCGAACCTTGCAGCGTGTTGCATGGGCATCAGGTACACTATATTGCTCAATTAAAGCAATTGGGCCCATCAAAGTCCAATTGCCAATGAGGCTGCATGTATGCAGTACTGTGAGGTTGTCACCCTCACACGGGGCAAGTTGATAGACTACTGGGTTTTGTGTCCAGAGCCCACCGAAATAAGCCCAGTGTGACAGAAATGTAGGTGGCCCATCCTAGCGAAGCCATTAGAAGGAAAATTACAATCACTTCCAATGTAGCTGGGGAGCCTGTCAATGCTGCCAACGATGCCAACGTTTCGCTCCTCCCCATCATGTTGTAGGTGGGCGGCGGTGGCCCACCATTTCCCTGCCAATGCCAGGGGCCCGGGCCACCAACATCATATCTCCCACAACATGGAAATCTGTCAACGTGGGCGTCGGTTTGAACCGTTGCATTTTATGCAAGGATATAATGATGGGCCCGCGCAAGCTAAGTCCAACAAGAGGTGGTCACAAGCACATGGAGAGATAAAGCCCAGCCTCTGTTGATACTGGCAGGGGCTGGCGTCCTCCCTGCTAACAATATGAGGGAAGAATAGGAGGACCATTTGCCACCTTGAGAGGCAGGACTGGATATTATTCAA